TGTGGAGAATCGTTCAAAGAGTGGTTTTCAAACACCCTACCAAAATTAGAAGATAACTGCATTATTATTCGAGAAAGCTGGAAAAAATACCTACAACGACGTCTAAAAAAGGTGATTTTTAAAAATGGCTATAAGGGAAAAAAATTTAATTCGACTAACAAATGCTTAAGATCCAACTTCTAAAACTTGGTAAGCAACATAAACATTATGATAGGTATGTAATAGATGAAATGGTTAAGCAGCAGAACAACATAATATTGAATTAATCTAGGTTGACGTTAAACAATACGTAGCAGATAAAAACTCAACATTTAAATCTGGAGACATTAAAATTCTTTTTGAAGAAGTAATATTATTAATTTCTCCAGAAAAATGGAAAGAGTGTATCGACCATGTTCGCCAAAAAGTTGAAGTAAAAATGTGAGAGTTGGATAATATTATAGAGGTTCAGGTAGAACCATTTGTAATTTTGATTAATGAAGATAGCCCTTCAAGTCTAACTAATTTATCCGATTCAGAATAGTGCTAAGTCAAGTAAGGAAGATTGCTATAATACAGAGTACAAGGTGTCTAATCTAAATACTAGTAGAACAAGAACAATAAAGAACAAAAGTTGTCAAAAATACAAAAGGTTTCTTTTTAAAATGCACAATTTTAAATCAAATACCAAATACCTCTTATATTTAAAGTTTTTTTAATGCTTTTAGTAGATATATATTAGCTATTAAAGAATTTGCAATTATTTGGACACCCTGTATAATATAATTTTATAATATGATTGTTTTAATGTCACTAAAGTCTGGGAGACCGTGTATGGCATTTATTTTATAGTTTTGGTTTACAAAATATGTTTTTATCGTAATAAAAAAATAATTTCACAATTACACTCTTTTATTTTACATTTTTGCAAGACGGAAAAGTAAAATACGGCCCTGCTCAATTTTAGCGTCCACCTGCTTCTGTTTACATCAGGCGTAAATTAAATTTGAATAGACTTTAGTTAAAAATTATGATTCTTTGACAACATTTGTCCAATAAAGGTATACCTAGAAGGTGTCTATGTTACGGTCAAAGATGATATTTCGGTTTTTAACGATATTGGCCGGTTATTGTCGTAAATCTCCTATTTGAATAAAATACAGCAAAAATTTACAAGATCTGAATTCAATTCATGTTGGGAGAAGCTTATATTATTGGAAAACCTAAGTGACGCCGTTAAAGAAAAAGAAATCTGACTTAGAGAAGCTGCAACACAAAACACTGTTTTGAAAAACAAGGATATAAACGATGTCACTGTAAGGGTGGGTGCAAAAACAATAAATGCGCTTGTCGCACCAGGAAAAAAATTTGTAATTCCAAATGTCGTGGATCATTATCATGCTCAAATAAAATTGATAGTTATATAATTATAATGTTCTCATGTTAATTTTACAGTAGCTTACTGGTAAATCCTTGAAAATAAAAAAAATAAGTCACAGTACCAACTTAATTCTTTAAAATCAACTTCACCCACTTATTGATAGTTAATGTCATTAATGGCCGGACAAAGATGCAAAAAAATAATATATTTTCAACATTTTCCAGTCATTGATGGCCGATGTCGTTAATGGCCGGACAAAGATGCAAAAAAAAATATATTATCAACATTGTCCACGATTAATGGGCATTTTCGTTACTGCCCAGATAATAACGATATTGGCCAGCAAATATGGCTGCTGACGTTAGTGTCCGGTCAATATCCTCAATGCCCAATTTACAATACTGCCCGTAACATCTATATCGTTAAGATTTCACCAGCTGATAGTTTATCGAAAAATAAAGGTACTTTGTCTAATAAACTATGATCCATTTTTGCTTTCTTTTTGACGTATCTAGTTCAGGTATTCTGAGACGTGCAAAATTGTTAGTTTTAATTTATTTTTCGAAAACAAAGTATAAGATACGAAAAAAAATTAGGAGACAAAACCTTTTTATTTTTAGTTAGTATAATTCAAAAAAAATATGAAAAATTCGAAAAACCTACAGGGCGATATTTTTTGTGCCGAAAACTAATCGCAATCACGCCTTTGAAATTACTGGATCAACTGTAACATGTCCGAAAGACATGTCAACAAACTGAAAATTTCATCAGAATCGATTATTCTTTTTTAGATATTAATAAAAACTATGGCGACATATCACTTTAGTGTCACAATATTACAGATTTGACATGTTTCAAATAAAACTACAGATATGTATTTCTTGATTGCGGATTATAGTCAAAATTCAAAAATATGGTCTTTTCAAGTTGGAACTATTTTTTATTGCGGATGTTGAAAACTACCTATTACTTGATAGAAGCGTAGTAATTTCGATTCGCGGATACTCTTGTGCGTTTGTCAAGAATTTGATTTTATTTATCGCAATTTTAATTGTGTTTTTTGTTTTACATAGGTTTTAAGTATTTTATGGATTTTTTATCAAAGACTATTTATGTGGTACGAAATATTTAGCGAAGTTGCTAAAGATATATTTACCAATATTTATGAGCATATCGCAGAAAAATATGTATTTTAAATCAATAAATATTCCTAAATTTTATGTTGTTTTTATTGCAACAATCAATAAGTACTTAAGGAATTTAGGTTTGTTTGGTAGAAGGAGTGATATTAAGTTGAGAAGCAATAATGTATATTCTTTTGATGTGTCAGTTGGCCGGGAAGCGATTTTTTTAAAAAATATGTTTTTATCGAGGGGTAAATTTTGTACACCTGACTTCCAAACTTCCATGCCTTCTACTTACTTTCCGTAGACTTCTATGGACTTCCAGATGACTTCCTCTGATTTAAACATGACTCCACTGACTTCCAAATGATTTCCACTGACTAACCTGACTTCCAGATGACTTCACCTGACTTCAGGATTACTTCCAGTGACTTCCACAAACTTTCAGCAGAACAATATAAATAACTAAAGTTAAAGTTAGTTAGGAACAGAGTAAGAATTCAAGTAGTGAAATGGTGTCGCCATCTGTTCCTAGTAAGCAAAATCAAAGGCCGCTGTAGTACCCAGTTAGAAAACTAGGTGGAACCAAACGGCCAGGCTGGCAATTTGTAACAAGAAAAATATTTCAAACTCTCTTCCTAACTAACTTTATTGTATACTGGTGAAATGTGTAGCATTTGTTAATTCCATTAGAGACTGGAATTGAGAACCTATCTATTTCTTGCTGAAGAGTCCTAATAAGGACGAAACCTGTCCAAGAATGATGTTCTCCTTAGTGAGCAAAATCAAAGGTAGATAAAGTGTTGAAATTTAATTTTCTATCTCTGCCCGTCTTTTCTGTGAATATAATTCAATACCTATTGCGGTATTAGCCAAAGGAGTAGTTGTTTTCTGAAGGAAGACGGTCGCTCATAATTTATGTGATATTGGCTGTAGTTTTATTTATATTTTACGTCTTGATCACATTTGAGTTTGAAATATTTTTCTTGTTATATAATTTTTTGTTACTGATATTTTCTTGTGCAAATATGGGAAAAAACTGTTTGGGGTGGTACATTTCATGACGAAAAACATTTTTTTCTACACCTACATGGATATTAGCTTATCTACGCACAGATTATAAAACGAAAAGTATGCTATTGCCTTCAACTGAACGAATATATTTCATATCTATTCTAGGCAGTGAGAACACTGCAAAAAAATGAAATCCACCAATCACCGTTTATATTTTGATCAACCGACTGCTATTATTTTTAAAATCTTAATTAAGTGACTATATTCTGTTAAACTAATTGTCAGTATATTTTTTAGTTATTGAGATTAAACATATATTAAAATGGGTTATTATTTTGTAAAATCGATAAATAATAGCATTTCTGTTTTTATTTCGCCTATAATTATAAATAATTTGTTAATTTAAATAAAACTATATGAAGTCAATTTAATTACGAGTATTAAAGCAACAAAAATAAAAGAATAGATGGTCCTGTGGTCAGCGTTCTAGCCTTCCACACAGAGGACTAGAGTTCGATTCATGGATGGGGAAAAATTAAATGAACTTTTTCTTTTTTTTCAATTATTTTATTTTAAAAATTATTAAAAGTCATAAATTATTTTAAAATTAGTTATTTTGTCTTAATAACCTAAAATATTTTTTTATTTGTAAACTTTCGTTAGTGGGTCGTAGAAAAAATATACCGTACAACTCGAGTGGATTGTCCACATCGCATTCAGACGATTGAGCACTCCGCCTACGGCGTCGTGCTCAAATTTCGTCTTCGTGCAATATGGCCATCATATCCACTCTTGTTGCACAAACTACTATTTTTAATGCCGTTTCTTTATGGGTAGGTATACTGCATTTTTCCAAACAACAAAATATATATGATTTTTGATCACTTCAATTTTTGATTATATTTTTCTCGAAAAATACTGCTTTTCTATATTTTTCTGCGATAATTTACTATAGAAACTAGTTATTTTTGGGTGTTGACAAATTTTTTGCAAAACTCGCATCTGATCTCGGCGAACAATTCACTCATGTTTCAAAAAATAACAAAAATGAGGTTAGAAAAAAATGGTTAATGGTTATATTTTGGCAAAATCCGCACTTTTTTGTAAATAATAATTAGTCTTTATCACATTCAAAATGGTTCTATTTTTTTCTAAATCGCTTTGTTTTTATGACACTAAAGTGTTATGAAATTACTCTGAAATTACTGGTTCAACTGTAACATGTCCGAAAGACACTTCATAAAGTTGTCAACAAACTAAAAATTTCATTGAAATTGATCAGTCTCTTTTAGATATTAATAAAAAACTATTTAAAAACTTTCATCAAAAAGGAAACAAAATTGTACCATGTTTTATCGTGCAATTACCGATAAATTATCGGCTGGTAAAATCCTGACGATATAAACCCGACTGCCCTGTATTTTCAATTTTTAGAAATTAAAATTACCCATACAATAAGAGCCAGTCCATCCCGTCCAAGCAAAAACAAGTATTGTGTTTACCTTGATATTTGTTGATTTCCACGTGAGGCGATATGAGAGGGGATATCACTTTTGAAGTAGTACTCATTGTCATTTTACAAAACTATAAACCTACTTAATAACTAAATTTAATACTATTTTTCACCAACACTTAATATTTGTTGTACCTAAAGGTTTTACATTTTAAAATTCTAGTGTTTTTTAAACCGCGGAAAAATATTCAAAATATCCGACGTCGCCAGTCGCGTCCGCTTGTTTTAAAATCAAGTGGTAAACCAACAAACACGACAAGCAAGTCAAGTAACAACTGACTCATGTGGTAAATGGGGAATTGCAGGAATCCTTTTAGCGACGTTGCCAGTTTCCTCCTGCTAAATATACATTTTCTTATTAATAATTTTGGTCGTGCAAATATTGATATATTGTTTCTGTCATAAGGTAAGCACAGAATATAATATAGTTCAAACCTAAGAGTAAAGAACAGAGAGGACAGTAAACAATGTTTGTATCGTCTTGATAATATGGTCGAGAATCTCATTCAAAAATTCTAATTAAAGAGAAATAGTTTTTCGAGTTATTTTTAAACAATTTTAATTTTTTACTTAAATTAGGTCAAGTATGGTGGAGTTAAGAGAGACTTTGGTTTGTAAAGTTTATTTTATACTAGGAAGTAAGGTTACTTTTTGCTCAAAATGGACTAGCAAATAGTTTTGATTTTTTAATTGTTTTTTTATTGTTGGTATTTTTTGTTCTATCACCATGTATATAAAAACAACTGTTGAAGGGAATGTCAATAAAAAAAAATAGAGAAAAAGCTGTCAACACTTTCTTGAAAGTCTCAAGCCACCCAGACAACACACCAAATCCTTTGGATATCTACTGGACATCCCAATATCCACTGAATGCCCAGGCCATGGTGGATATCTATTTTATATCCGATGCATTTTATAGACATGTAAATAATATCAATGAATAATAGTAATTATATATAACAAATTATTAAAAAATCTGATGTGTCCAACACATGACTTTCCTATCTAGTTATTATAGGCTTTTTCCGGTTATTTTGTACAACCTCTTGCAGCATCTCTATAAATGTTTAGAGGATAAACTAAATATATACATTGTCCACATACATCTACCTCGAAACATTTTTCTATAGATATTCATGGAAAACGAAAATACTGAAAAATTAAAATTTCCTACAATTTTTTCATTACGGTCCATTTTAGAAAAATCATGTATAAACAAAAATTATAGAGATCGATATCGCAAACAACTTTTATTTTAAAAACTTTCATAAAAATCAAAATTTTGCACATTTTGTCAAATTTCTCGAATACGGACCATTTTAGAAAAATTTTGCATAGAACAAAAATTATAGATAATTATATTAGAAGTAACTTTTATTTGAAGAATTTTCTTCTCCAAACGTAAATAACGGATATATTTAATAAAATTTAAAAGTGGCCTCCCATAAAGTACCCCCCCAGATGTTCCGACTATGTCTAAAATCTAATAATTTCACGTCAGGCCGAAATAAACCTTAAGTTTAAAATTTAATGTTTTTTTCTTTATCCGTTTTTGAGTTTTCTTCAAAATTCGAAATTTACACATTTTCTCAAATATCTCGAATACGGTCCATTTTAAAAAAATTATGTATGGAATAAAAATTATAGAGAATTATATTACAAACAACTTTTATTTGAACAATTTTTATAAAAAAATATTTTTTTTACATTTTGTCAAATTTCTCGAATACGGACCATTTTAGGAAAATTTTGCATAGAACAAAAATTATAGATAATTATATTAGAAGTAACTTTTATTTGAAGAATTTTCTTCTCCAAACGTAAATAACAGATATATTCCATGAAATATAAAAATGACCACCAATAAAGTACCCCCCCAGATGTTCCGACTCTGCCCAAAATCTAATCAGCTCATTGGACGCTAAAACAAAGCTTAAGTTTAAAATTTGGTGTTTTTCTGTGTATCGGTTCATGAGTTATGCGTTATACAGACACACACACACACACACACACACACACACACACACACACACACACACACACACACACACACACACACACACACAGACACACAGACACACAGACACACAGACACACAGACACACAGACACACACACAGACATCATCGCGAAAATAGTCAAAATGGATTCAGGGGACCTCAAAACGTAAAAATCCGTCGAAAACTCGAGGTCGAAAAAAATCATGATTCCTATACTTTCCTTATATCTGTATACAGATAGGAAAGTAAAAATTGCGCCATTGTGGCTAATAGTACCGTTTAGATATTTAAAATTAATTTTTTTTTTAAGATGTATTCAATATCCCATGGATATCCACTAAATATATCAAAGTATAGGCGCAAACGCAAACCATGATGGATATCCACTAAATATAATTTATGGATATAATATGTACCTAAATATCGGAAAATATGTGAAAAAATTGATTTAATAATTATTAAATTACTTAAATATTACGCCATGTGATAACTAAGAAAGTATATAGTATGGTTTATAGAAATTTAAAATTAGTAAGTTGTATTCAATATCCCACAGATATCCGCTAGATAAATAAATATTGGCAATGATCGCGAACGCAGGCGCGGATATTTTCTGCCGCTCACAGGTGCCATCGGCCATTTTATAGTTTGTGTTTGTTTTGTTTTGTTTGTGTCGTGTGCATGAGTTTCATTTGATAATTTTGGGTTAAAAGGAGGTAAGTAAGCTTTAAAACCTAAATTACTGAGGCTCTTCCTATGGGGTCTCAATATTGAATTCGTGCATATGAAAAAATTTTCTTGTCCCCATTTTTTAAAACTTTTTCTTGTTTTCGATCATTCTGAGTACGAAAATGCAAAAAAAATTTTCGTCTCTGTGTATGTATGCCGGCACAATAACTCTAGAACAAAATTTCTGATTGACTTACGGTTTTTATTTTCTTGAATAATTACGTCTAACTTAGAACCCTATTTTCAGAATTTTCGGTTCATCCTAACTACTTTAATATCAATTTTCTTAAAATCCGCCTATGCAATTCTTATGGGACAATTTTAGGAATTCCAATTATTTCTAACGTCAACATTCCTAACAGTCTCAACATTCCATAAATTGCAAACATTCTCTAACGACCTGTCAAACAACAGCTGTTGATAGTAAAGGTGAAATTTTTAAGGCGGGTTGCGACCATAGCCATTTTGAAGGCTATTTTTATTCGAAATTAGTCGCCAAGCCTGCCAATTTATAAAAAATATATAAGCAGTTTCTTAAAAATGACTTTTTTATGGAGGTGCTAACTAAGCTTACTACTATTTCGCCCTTAGCCACAAAAACACCTTCATCAAATTTACTGGCTCTCTGTCGCAACCCTATAGAATAATTAACCGGCCATTTTATTTGGCAAAAATCAGAATAATGCTTGGCTGTGCCTGTCAAATATCAAGATGTCAACTGTGATATGTGAATGGCTCTTAAATGTCAAATTATTTAAAAATGTATGCTTCTTTTGATATTTATTGCAAATAATTTGTAGTATATCTCAATTCAGGCTTTCCATAAATAAAAGTACAGCAAGACAAATAATATAATGTTCTTACACAAAGCACTTTTTTATTATATAAAAGAGAGTTAGGATATAATGCTGGTTTTTGTAGATAATTTTAATTATACAGTTTTGGATTACATATTCAACCAGCGATTTGTAAATAATAATTAGTAAACTCCTAGTCATAAATTTCCTCAATTCATAAAATTTAAAAATGAATCTTCTTACCTTGGGATTTTAATGACGTAATGTGATCAACCCATTTAAAATTTTGATCAATTATGATACCGGGTTATTTTGTTGTTTTTCATTTTAATATAAAGTTGTCATTTATTTGTATGTTGAAAGAAGGCCTTTGTAAATTACATTGCTCTCTATGGATCTACTTTAACACAAAAATAGTTTTGTGACTATAAGTTGCTATAACCTATCGTCGCAAAACTATTAATAATTTAAACATAGTAAGTAGTAAAACGAGGGGTAAAATAACAATAAATTAAGGAAAATATTTAAAAAGAGCAGGTTTAAAGAGTATAATCACAAGAAAGTATATCCATTCTGTTTATTTATCAAGTATTGTTTGACGTTACTTTTGAATACATTTATTGTTTTTTTTTAATTTCTGTAGGCAGTCTACTAAATTTTTTAAACCTTTAATAAAAATTGTATTTTGGGAACTTTTAGTGATGGCTTGCCGTACATGAAAGTCAGATTGGCTTCTTGTATTATAGTTGTTATATTGTGAATTATATTGAATTTTTTCTAATAGATCTGATGCGATGGATTTATGTCATTTTTATTTTTTAAATAAATATGTCATATACTGAACATAATTCTGAACTGAAAGCCAATTTATTTCTTTTAACATAGTTGCAATACTCTTCTGTCCTTTATTAATAGAATATAAATAGGCGAAGTAAGGAGCCCAAATATTTTACATGAGCAGGCCTAAGAGGTAAAGGGGCCAATTATTATTGAATTAATTGCTCGAACAAGTTTTTAAACTCTAATCAAAAGGCGATATAGAATGGTTTTAAAAATCAAGGCTTGTGAAAATCATTACATGGTTTAACCTAAGTAATGGCAATGCTTCACAAAACAAAAATTCAACGTCCTAATATTACTATCAGCTTTCGGTCTTTCGTTCCAAGTTAAATCATTTCTTGTTTTTGTTACGCTACGAGTGTACCCTTGTGGGCCTCAGTCTCGATAAGGTAGGAACCACCATTTTAGCGTCTCTCGAATTTACATTTAAAATAACCCAACGCAACCAGTTAACGTACGCTACTATTGAAGATTCCAATATGAGCAAGAAAGTCTATATTAGAAAAAGAAACAATGATTTTATTATAGCGACATCAACATTGTATATATTTATGCAGTGGTAGCCTATCTTTATATTGTCTAAAGTTCAAACATAATATATACAGTGCGCAGTGTAAAAAATCAAATTAGAAATTTTAAATAACTCTCCAATGAGATATATGTACCTCTCCCTGTATCCTATTTAAAAAATCGCTCTCACTTTTGGACAAATTAAAATATTAAAAATTGCAATCTGTCATAAAAATGCAAGTAAGTCAGGGCCGGAAATACGAATTAATCTAAATTCCTGCAAAAAATTCAGGATTAGAATCCTCATTGAAAATTATAAGGGGTCCATTGTATAACAAAATTTTCCCTGTCCAAATTCATAAGAGATATCACCTTCGAATTTTTTCGTG